TGCTAAGAAAAATCTTTCTTTGAATTAATAAAAAGAAAGAAAAGAGCAGTGACCCTGGGAATAAAGAACAACAATAGTCATTTGTAAATCTCAACATATAATTTCTCAGTATCAATTAAAATTTGAAATGTATGTATCCTATGACTGTATAATTTTACTTCTAGAAAATTATCCTACTGCAATAAGAACACAAGTCCATAGAAATGGATGTATGAAGATGTCTACAGTAAGATCCTTTCTAATGACAAAAATTAGGAACATCCTGAATGCCCATCAAAATTACTGTGTAGCATCCAATGAGATTCAGAAGGATGAGGAATTGAGCTATACAATATCCATGAGATGCTGTTGTGTAAAAAAAGTACAGACTAATATGAATAGTAGGATTCCACTTTTTTTAAGAGAGAGAGAGAGAGAGAGAGAGAGAGAGAGAGAGTAGCATGGAAAAGAATCTCTGAAGCTACACCTCTGGTTATTAATAGCAGCTACCTGTGGGATTAGGATATGTTGGTGGGGTGGGGGAGACTATGCTTTATGACTTTTTAAAACAGGGCAAAAGTAGGATTATGTGGGATTTTTAGTGCCTCATTCCAATATTAGCTATAATTTTCCATTAAAATAACTATTAAATTATACTTTGACTTTAATTTCTAATCTAAATGTAGATATGAAACCCCAAATAAATCTCCCTCTACTAATCTGGTCTTTCTCAGACATCTCTATTCTATGATTAGAGTCACCGTATTATCTTTCAAGAGCTGACAAATGGCATTTTACACAATTTGAAAGCAAAGATTTTAGTTTAGGCAAGTTTACTAAAGTCTAGGGAAAAGCCGAATTTAGCTTCTCGAACAAAGAACTAGGGATGTTAATAGAGTTCCTTACTCTTCCAATTGCTTGGCACTCATAATAGCAAAACTCAGTCTTTGTGGCGAGGGAAAGGAAGGATGAAATGAGATGCAGGAGAAGGGTGAGTACCACATCTGGCACATGGCTATGGGCGTGGGGGTAAGGAGGTGTTTCATAACTTCCAGCCATTGTCACTGTTGTTTGTATATATCATACTCATTTATAACTTCATGATTTAAATGGGCTTAATAATAGAGATTATTTTACTTATCTTGATGTCCCTCCAGATGTCAAATCTATAATAAAATAATGGGGGTGTACTTCATGGGGTCCTCTCAAGGATTAAATGCACTAGTTTTAATCAATTGCTTGGAACAGTGCCTTGTACACACCAAGTTCTATATAAAATGTTCTCTTCCTTTACTGCAATATCAAATTCCAAAAATGCTCTAAAATATTTAGTCCTTCTGTTCTAGTCTCAATAATCAAGCAGGGTCAGCCAACATATGACCAGCATTGTTGCATGTAAATATATTACCAGCTATTCCACTGACAGGAAGGTATTCATTAAAAGCTAACTTCATCTTAACTTTAAAAAAATTGGTCTTATAATCCATTAGGGAGCAAAGGCTGACCTGAACGATTTGTAGTCTTTTTTTACTCTCCCTTGAGTGAATATTTCGTAGCATTACATATCCTGTTGGAAGTAGTATGTATATACTACATTATCATTCTGAAATAATAAAAATTATGATTTCTGAAATAAATTTGGTACTAGGAACTGTGGATCACAGACTAGAGACAAGTGTTATCTTTGAAAAATATTGTAATATAAGTTTCAGGAACATAACTAGGGATATGCAGCTTTGAAGAAAATTGAGTATGGGAAAAATGTATCTGTTAAAAGGTGACATCTGAACTTTTAAAATGTAGACTAAAATCAGATGACTAACTAGCCTTTTTTTTCTTATTGTTTTGACTTATTGTAAAGACAAGGTCTCACCAAGTTGACTAACTAGCTTTGAATAAATTAAATAAATGTCCTCTAGCCTGCAGCTCACGCCTGTTATTTATCTTTCATTCTTAGATGGAGAAAGATGATCTTCTCCTGGTCAAGGATGAGTCTGTCCCCTCCTGCTGCCTCCTCAGGGAGCCTCACCCTGTGAGTGAGTACTTCGTTCGTACATCTTCAGCATCTCCCTCCCCACCAGCTCTAATCATTTTAATATTTATACATGCTTAAGTATCCTTCATCATAAATATTCCTGACATTCAACCATATCCTTCAGCAGCTACCTTATCCTCTTTTTCTTATATATATCCACCATATCTATTTTTTTTGTCATTCCTCAGCCCATGGCAGCTTAGCATCCATGCCTACCACTGAAATTGCTCATAAAGTTCACCAACAATACTAATGGGCCCTTTCATGATGGTTCTTGACCTCCTTGCAGGAGCAGGCCCTCTTCACTACTCCTTCTTCTTTAGTGCTTAGAATTCAACGTAGGTCCTTTTATATCACACTCTAGACTCACCTTGGATGTTCACATTTATCCCCATTTATCATTTGTCAATGATTATTCAGTGGATGCCTTCCCAAATCTACTTCCCACAGCCTAGCTCTCTCTCCTGAGCATCAGATATGGCCTACAACAACTCCATTTGGATGTCTCCCAAGTGGCCAGACCCAGGCTGAAACTGAATTTACCTTTGCTTCCAAACCTGTACACCTGCTCCTCCTGGGTTCCCCATGCAGTGAATGGCACTGACATTCAGACAATTGCTAAAGGGCTGAGGAGTCAACTCCTTCCATATATATATTTTTTTCGATAATTAATATATAATATAAATTGTATGCATAAAATCAGTCATAAGTTCTGACAGTTCAGCTTCCCAATGTCTCTAGAGTCTATCACCACAATCACCTCTATTTTGGGCCACAGTCATTTCCAGCTTAGATGACTACAATGAGTCTTATGGGGTTCTGCCTCCTATCTTGACATCAGCAAATCCATTTTCAATAGTGCAACTAGACAGGTCTTTCTTACCTCAAGCATGATAGTATTTCTCCCTTCTTAAAATCCCCAGAAGCTTCAAAATGTCCTCAAAATAAAGTCCACACTTATTCATACAGCCTAAAACTTCATATTCTATCTAAAAGTCAGCAAGTCTTTCTTTACTTTGTAAAGTGCTAGTCATGTCCTGGGATCTGAGGATATAGCAATGAACCATTCCAAGTTCAGATATCAAGGAGCTTATCTGTGGCTGTGTGTTGGGAAAGATGTATAGAAAAATAAAAATACTCCAGCTTCTAATAAGTGTTATAAAAATAGGGTGGGGAGTATGCTGTGTCTATCAGGGTATTCATGTGACATTTTAGTTGAGAGATCTGGAAGTCTCAGCCAAGATATGTCTAGCACACTCCTACTAATCTCTCAGTTCTCAGCTGAGACCTCCCTTGGGAAGTGTTCCTGTTGCCTTGAGTCTGGGTTGGCAACAACTCCCGGATGCTCCATAGCACGGTGTATGCACCTGTACATTAACCACTCAGGGCCTTAATGTGCATTACTTGTTTAATTCCTCCTCTACAGGAACAGGACATCTTGTGTCTAATACATCTCCAGTGCCTACAACAGTGCTGGCCATCCTTGAGTTGCTCAACCTATACTTCTTGAATGACAGATTAAGTCATTAACATCATTAAATAATTCTCCTGGTCTGAAGGACCAGCTAATTTTGAAGACAGAAATATAATTGTCCTTTGAAAAGGTGTGTTGGTTGGTTGAATGAGGAAAGTCCATGCAAAACACCTTTATTCATGATTTCCATTTGCTTTATTGCTGCTAACATGAATATTAAAGCATAAAATCAGTGCCTAGATTAAATTAATCATGTCTCTCAATTCATGCGTCTCTGCTTTTTTTTTTTTTAATTTCCAGACTCTATAAAAATATGTAAGCTTTTCCTGTGGGAAATTTTCAAATATGAAGTCATAGACTTCTTAAGTAAAACCTAATGATTCTTCAACTGAGTCAAAAATACAGTTTCTAATGAAAGTTAATAACTGCACAGTTATCTTCCTTTTGACGTTATGGATTTCTATACTCAGAGTGGGTAAATGCTAAGATCTTTTATCCATTTTTAATTCTAAACTCAAGATTTAATGTAAGAATGAAAAACATGATACCATATGCCAGTTGACTGACTGCTAGAGAGATTACATGTACCCAAAATGATTCTCTGTTTCATATGACTCAGCTTGCCAGCTGCTCCCAGGTAAAAGATTTTTCTGAGATCATATAATATTTTCCAGGCAGTTAGAGTCAAAGATAAGTGACCCCTATGCACTGTCTATATTAAAAATCTGCAACTCTTCCCCTAAGGCACTGTGAAGAATTCCAATCTAGAAAACATTACAATTTAACCATACTTTTTTTCATAATTCTCTACTACTGAGCATTTAAGCAACTCTACCAATATGATGGTTTACATATGAAAGTTATCTGGAAAACTGAAGAAATGGAAGAGAAATAAAAGTAAATGACAGATGACACATCATTCCTTTACCTTAGGACAATCAACTTCTGAGCTTCTGGTGACACCACGAAGGAAATATTATAGTTCCCCAAATCTCAGCAAATATTGGATTTTTATAAACCTGGCATCCATATTTTATATTTAACGTCAGTCTGTTAGACTAGTACAGCATACTGATTAGACTACAGCTGACAGAGAATATCAAATACAACTGTGCTTCCCTAGTCAGAAAGTTGTAGCCAGGACTTTTAATTATGGTTTTAGAGGGATGAAACCAGCTAATATGTTTACATATTCTCCCTTATCTTCTATTGAGGCAGCCTTCAGGTTCACTTGACTAGAGTTAGTTTATTGGCTTTTGTCTTCTTAGTTCTGTTATTCTGCTTCTAGTTTATTAAACGTTGATGACAGGCATTTCACCTATGTCCTTCTCCAAAATAAGAGTTAGTAGCTTTGCTTGAGCAACAGAAATTTTAAAAAGTCAATATACTTGCAGCTTAGAACTTAATAGAAACAGGTAAGGCAATTGTCCAGGAACTGTCTGAATATTGATAAATAAGAACAAGAGAATCTAAAAAGATATATTAAGGAAAAATTTTTAAAATGTCACTTACCCTTAGTTCTTCCTTTGTATTGAAACTATCAAGAAGCTGTTGATAATGTCTATCTGTCATTTGTCGTAATAAGGACAGGAGACAAGCAACGAACTCTCCCTAAGTTTAAAAAAAAAAAAAGGAAACTTTTTTGTAAGGAGATAAAAGAACATCAGTGAGTTACTCTGAACTTCCCTCAAAGAGAATACTTTAAAAGAAAATCACTAGCATCCAAACTCACCCTGTGAAGTCTTCTTAATCTAAATTACCCAAAATATCACAGCCAAAATTTCTCCCTATGATGATTACCATTTACTTGGTATCCATGCATTTTTAATTTTAGAGAGGATCTTTTTTTTTTTTTTTAAATTTGGGTGGAAGTTTTTCACTTGGGAATTAACCCTAATCCCACACATTTAAAGGATATAAGGCAACAAGATTTCCAGTCATTTACCAAGCATTCAAAACACCTTCATTCACTATATCACTTAAATTTTATATCAACACATGTAGGGAGTCTCACACCTATTAAAGAAGGTAAAATGTAGTTTCAGACGGGCAAAAAGACTGGCCCAAAGTCACACAGATAGTAAGTGGCCAAGCTAGAGTTATCCCCAGCTCTTTTTGATGCAAAGCACCTCCTGTAGCTTCAGGCTCCATGTTTCATGTTACCTCCTTCAACTCATCAGAGTATTGATCTGCTGACTCACAGGACATAAGGAAAGTCATACATTGAATAATGTTGGTTTTTATCTGCTTTTAAAAAATAGTTTTAGGCCAGGCTCAGTGGCTCAGCCTGTAATCCTAGTGCTTTGGGAGGCCGAGGTGAGTGAATTGCCTGAATCCGCGGGTTTGAGACCCGCCTGGGCAAGTTGGCGAGCCCTCATCTCTGCAATAAATTAAAAATTAGCTGGACGTGGTAGCGTGTGCCTGTAGTTCCAGCTACTTGGAAGGCTGAGGAGGAAGGATCGCCGGAGCCCAGCAGGTTGAGGCTGCAGTGGCCGGGAGCGTGCCACTGCATTCCAGTCTGGGCGATGGAGTGAGACTCCAACTCAAAAAAAAAAAAAAAAAGTTTTAAATTAATGGTTATTCTTCTGTGCTTAAGCTCTATGTAATTTTCTCCTACAAATTCCAATTCTTAAAAATTAACCATAAGCCGGGTGTGGTGACTCATACCTAAAATCCCAGCACTTTGGTAGGCTGAGGTGAGAGTATTGCCTGAGCCCACAGGTTTGAGACCAGCCTGGGCACATTCGTGAGACCTCATCTCTGCAATAAATCAAAAAGTAGCTGGTGTGGTGGCACATGCCTGTAGTTCCAGCTTAGAAGGCTGAGATGGAAGGATAACTGTTGGGAGCCGGCCACGGAGGCCCACTGAGCGTTAGGCCACCCTTCCTGATCCCTAACGCTCAGTGGGCCTCTGTGGCCGGCTCCCAACAGATAACCTGAGTCCAGCAGGTCAAGGCTGCAGTGGCCATGAGCATGCCACTGCACTCCAACCTAGGCAACAGAGTGAGACACCAACTCAAAAAAAAAAAATTAACCATAAGAAAGAGAACTATACACAGTATCTATAGATTTGAAGACCTATATAAAAGTGCTATCATTTGCATTTCCCAGTGTACTTCAATTTAAAATACTTGTGTTTTCAATGCAACCTTTTTTTGCTCAGCAAAGAATTTATCTACTTTTAAATACAGCAATAACATTTAAAACAAAATGAACACAACAGGAGAGGCAATCAATGGTAACTGACTGTTTATTTACAGAGTGTAGTTTAATTGGGAATTGGTTTCTTACACTTTCCGTTGAAAGAGACTACAGCCATTAAAATTAGAGACTAAGAGTGCTGAGAAGTGCAATTTTTCAACAGAGGCAGCTGGGTCAGGACAGTCAAATGTATCCTCACTTGCTGGGTCAGGACAGTCAAATGTATCCTCACTTGGGAGGTGTGAGGATGCTACTTAATGGCCATGTCAAAGTAACCAAAGATTCAGACTAGCTCCTTGAATGTGGATAATCATTTGCAACACACAGGTATGAAAAATAATTGGTCATGTACATTTATTAGGGCAAATATTCAAGAAACTAGCCTGTATGGGCCAGCAGAAATATCCTTCATGTTCAACATATTACTTTAATAATAAACAAGGGAATCCTTGATAATTAACACACACAAAAAAGGCCAAATTATTAGTGTTTTAGTGTATGTGTGTGAGGGAGCAACCCAAGGCTAGGAAAATAATAATATGAAAGGATTGAGAGAACAGTGCCTGGTGTTTACACAAGATTGGAAAGAGTAGTGCCTTTTCTTACTAGTCAGACTGGTACAGTCCCACAATTAATAAGGCATCAGTTAGAGTATCAAAAAAAGTCTTTCCTCAGTAGTGGGGAATAATTACTCCCTGACTAAATGCTGCTCTGGTCCTACCTCACAAGTTTCAAGAGCAAGACATAAAATGATCAAATAGTTTTTAATTAAATTTGACCCTATTCCAGAGCAAAGCTCAAAGACATTTTTAGAGATTATAAAAATCCAGCTCCCAACAATGTAAAATTCATAACATCTGGCATGCAATAAAAAATTACCAGGCATGTCAAGAAACAGGAAAAAATGGTGATGTCAATGAGGAGAAATGGAACAGATCTAGAAATGACACAGATAACAGAATTAACAGACAAGGACACAAGCATAGTTATTATGACTTTATTCTGTTTATTCAGGTGACTAGATGAGAGACTGAACATTTTAATTAGAGGCATGCAAGACATTAAAAGAACCCTAAGTAAACTCCTAGAGAGAAAGATGTGTGTGAGATGAAAATACACTAAATGGAACTAATGGCAGATTAGACACTGCAGGAGAAGTGATTACTAAACTTGAAGAGATAGTAGCAGATATTTTCTAAAATAAAGAATAGAGAAGAAAAACTGCAATAAAAAGGAAAAAAGAAAAAAGAATCGGTGACCTGTAGGACAACTTCAAGTAGCAGACTACCTATGTTACTGGAGGTTCCAAAGAGGAGAAAGAGACAGAAAGATTCTGAAGAAATAAGGGGAAAAAACCTTTCAAATTCTTAAAATTATAAACCTATTTATCAAAGAATCTCTACACACCCCAAGCACAAGAAGCATTAAAAAAAAAAAAAATTAAAGCAGAGCACATCATGATCAGATTGCTTATGACCAGTGGTAGAGAAAATCTTAACATAAGTCGGGGGGGAGGGTGGTGAAAAAAAGAAATACACTACATTAGAGGAACAAAAATAAGGAAGAGAGATCTCTCTTGGAAACAACACAAACTAAAAGACAATGGAGCAACATCTTCAGAGTACTGAAAAAAACAAAACAAAAGCAACCAATTCTAACAACTATTAACCAAGAGTTTGTTACCCAGCAAAAATATCTTTCAAAAGCAAAGATGAAATAAGATTTTCAGACCTCCCAAAACTTATTTACCACTATACTGAAGGTTTTAGTCAGTGCAATAAAACAAGAAAAAGTAATCAAGAACAGATTTGAAAGGAACTTTTAAAAAGCCATCTTTATTTACAGATATCATACCTGTGTACATAGAAAATGAGAAAAAGCTACTAGAACTAATTAAGTGAGTTTGTCAACATCCAAGAATATAAGATCAATATACAAAAATCAGTTTTGGTTCTGTAGTAGGAATGAATAATCAGAAACTCAAATCCAAAATATCATTAAAATACAGGAATTATTGCATACATATAAAAAAAGATGTGTAAGAGCTACACACTAAAGTCTATAAAACACTGATGAGAATAATTAAAGAAGGCCTAGGCCAAGCATGGTGACTCATGCCTATAATACCAGCACATTGGGGTAGCTCATGCCTATAATACCAGCACTTTGAGGCAGGAGGATTGCTTGAGCCCACGTGAGACCTACATGGGCAACATAGCAAGACCTTGTCTCTACAAAAAAAAAAAAAAAAAATTGAACTGCACATGGTGGTACCTGCCTGTAGTCCTAGCTACTTAGGAGGCTGAGGTGGAAGGATCACCTGAGCCTGAGAGTTTGAAGCTGTGGTGAGCCATGATTGTGCCACTGCACTGCAGCCTGAGAAATAGAGTGAGACCCTGACTCAAAAATGAAAGAGAGAGAGAGAGAGAGAGAGAGAGAGAGAGAGAGGGAGGGAGAGAGAGAGAGAAAGAGAAAGAGAGAAACGAAAAAAGGAAAGGGAGAGTATGAAGAGATATACTATGTTCATGGATTGGGATACCTAATATTGTTAATACATCAATTCTTGCCTCATTGATATACAGGTTCAACATCCCAGTAGACTTTTGGGGGGTTAAAAATTGACAAGCTGATTTTAAATTCCATGTGGAAATGCAAAGGACCTAGGACAATCAAAAAAACTTTGAAAATAAAAGAACAAATTCAGAGAATTTACACTTTCTGACTTTAAGATTTATTATAAAGCTATCGTAATAAGGATAGTGTGTTATTGGTGTCAAAACAAAAAAGAGATAAATGGAACACAATAGCCAAAACCAGGAACAACCTAATGTGTACCAACAGGTGAATGAATAAAAAATTTGCAGTATATCTATACAATAAAATACTATTCAGTAATAAAAAATAATAAGGTATTAACATACAAAAGAACATGGAGGGAACTCAAATAATCATACTGTGTGAAATAAGCCAGAACCCCTTGCCCCTGTCCTCCCAAAACACCCAAATAATAACTATGTAATATATGATTCTATTCACAAAGAATTCTTGAAAATGCAAATTTATATGTATTAACAGATAAGTTACTATAAAAAGCAGATCAGCAGTTGCTTGGGGATGAGGTAGTGGAGAGAGGCAAGAGAGAGGGAATAGAGGGCCACAAGGAAGTTTTGAGAATGATGAACAGGATGTTCATTATCTTAATTGTGGTGATTGTTCCTGTTGGGTGGACACTATCAACTTTCCTTTAAAGGAGATTATCTGTTAAGGTTTAGAAATCTGCCCAAAATCCACAGCTAGAAATGGTGAAGCTGGAATGGGAACTCTGGTATTTCTGGCTCCAGAAGTCTGTACTCAGTGGCTCTTCTTTCTTCTGCTCAGATTGATTTGATTTTACAGAGAAAATACACTTG